ATGGGAGCTGTCCTCCCTCCATAGTCTGTCGTGTCTCCGATGGTCGGTTCTCTGCTCCTTTCAGAGGGCCTGGAGCATGTGGACCCTTGGGCCCTTCTGCCACCTTCTCTGATTCACCAGTATAGGTGGTAGTGGTTGGTGTAGTCACAGTGGTCTCCATAGCTGCTAGTGTGGTCTTCTGATAGAGGAGCTTCTGAATGTTAGGCCCTGCAGGACCCTCTGGCTCAGTGATGGAGCTGCGTTTCTTCAGGGGCCTTGGGGCATTGTAGAGCTTCTTTCTCAGGGCTTCCAGGTCACCATCGATCTGATGCCTGTAGGGGTTGGAAATGAAAGGAAGCAGCTTGGTGGGGCTGAGGGGCCGAGGGATGCGCTCTGTTTCTGGCTGGGGGCCCTCAGATGAGCCGGGACTCACGTTGGCTCCACTGAAGTCAACCTCAGATTCTGGAGCAGGGGATCGGCGGTCCTGGTAAGGGTTCTCTGGATGCTGGGAGGCTCCACTGGGGATCACTGGTTTACCATACACTACAAACAAAGATATGAAACAAGTGTTAATACAGCAGTGTCTGTAGAAATAGGATCTTGTGTTACATGTGAAGGGCATGTGAATGTATCACTATCAAAATAATCAATAAAAATGACTCGCCCTTCATTCTCTATCATTTTCTGTATACAGTCATCAAATATATCTTGGCTTGTTTTCACTGAACCTGCTGCTTTTGATTTGTAACTTTTCACTGTAGTGAAACAGATTAGTAAGGCTTCTTAGATAAACCAGATAAATAAAAGCTAGATACTAAGAACATTTTTGTCAAAGAACGAGTATAAATGACAAAAACAAGATCAGCCTTGTCAATAACATCTATAAACCTAACTGGTCTCCAAACATGCCACTGGGAGAGCTGCATTACAAGAAAATACTTAGGATAAACTCAGGGCTGAAGAAACATTTGTTTAGTGTCATTTCCACAAATCCAAATTGGAAGCAGCAGGCAAAGCTGCCTGTGACCGTTAGTAACAGGATGATGGAACAGATGGCTTAGCTGCTTTAGTTGGTTCTGTGCTGTGTGAATATTTTTTGTTGAGTAAGCTGAGAACAGCAACAGGGCAGATTTACAGTAAATGTATCCACAGCACAACCCTACTTTCATTACAGGAGAAACAACCACATTCCTCTGTACCCACCTATTCAACACTGTTCCTACACTCATTTTAAGATGTTACAACTGAATGTTCTTACCACTGACAAATCCATTTGTGCGGTTTTGGGCCCTGCTGAGAGCACCCTGCACACCAGGCTGCTGCGTGTACATGGAGTATATGGAGCTGGCTGCTAAGGTCTGCGGCTTACTCATGCTGGAGTCTTTGGAGGAAGGCAGCTCTGGGGTGAAGGGCCGTACTGTGGCTGCAGGTGGAGTGTCCTGCTTGGAGGGTAGGGGGAGTGTCTGGCTCTGTGACGCTGGGAGTGGGCTGCGGCCCTGGGTAGACTGGGGCTGCTGGCTGTGAGGCTTTGCTTTAGGAAAGGTGCCTGTGTTGAGGCCTGGTTTGCCATAGGGCATGACACCAGGGCCTTTAGGTTTGGTGGGGACAGGAGGAGGTACCTTGATTGGGGCCTTAGGAGCAGACTGGAGGGATGAGAGAGAAGAGAGATAGCAAGTTAGATTCCATGATATTTTTATCCAGTGATGAACCAAACTGACTAGTGACTTATTGCTATGGGATGTCAGGAATGTAAGAAGTGTGATTTGTTCACTCTCACCTGAGCATCTCTGACCAAGTTATCACTACTCTGGTTTTTGCGGAGGGAGGTGGCAGGAGCCTCCGTTGGCTCAAACATAGAAAATGGACGCACTTTCTTGTCCCGCTTTAACTCTGTCTCATCTATCCACAGAGCACAAGTAGAAACAGTAATCAACTTGGTGTTATGTTCGTGTGTGTTTCTATAAAAAAGCTGTTTGAAGCTATTGTTCTGTCTTATCATCCATTACTGTTTTTATGGTTATAGGAAGGAACTACAGTGCAGTTTCTGTGAAAACGCTGGATATCCACATGGTATTTGCATATGTTTATGTCTCTTACCCTTCTCTTTGTTCGAGTTGGAGTGAGAGGTCATTCGTGGCAGTGTTGAAGCTGAACCATGAGTGTTGGTGTTAGATTCAGGACCCCAGTCTGCCAGCTTGGATGGCTGAAGGCCTGAGGTACGTAAGAGAAGATGACAGAATTAAGAAAAGGGGGTGGGGTGGTGCGGGGCAGGGGGTCAGGGGCAGGGAGTGAAAGAGTGGATTTTGTAGTATTTTGCCTCCCTCTTTACTCACTTTTTGTTTTGTGTTTCACTAAGACCCTGCCAATGACTATGCATGTCCAAACATCAGCAGTCAGATAAGCCACAAAAGCATGGGGCTCTTGCAAATAGCAAGATTAATGGCACAACAAAAATGGCAAACGCAAAATAATTTCTCCATAGGCTGTAGTTTAATACTCGTTTTCAAGAGGTGCTGTACAAATACAACACACATTTTTGAAAAGACCTGAATGGGTTGGTCAACTTAAGGTTATGTGTTTGTTCCAACTGACCCATGTAGTGGTATAAAAAAGAAAGAAAGAAAAAAAAAAGAGGGGACCACTCAACAAACACACTTTACTAAACAGCACAACAAGCAAACAGGACCAAATATCCATCTAAGAAACGGTCTTTGTAGTGAAGATGACAGATGAAAGAATAAAAAAAAATAAAAATCCAGGAAAGCTGTTGAGAGGCACACACGCACGCACTCACACAAGTACAAGTGTGTACCTTTTCGCTTAGCCCGCAGCTCTTTCAAAGGCTTAAGCAACAACATGGCTTCTGAGGAAGATGCATTCAAAAGACAAGAAAAACAAAATAGCCTTAGAGCTGCATATTTTGCATTGCTCTAGACATGCTGTTGACTTCCCGCCCTCAGGGGGCCACACAGAGACCAGCAAAACCCCCAAGTACCTACCTGATACTATGCACAACGTTCCTGCTAGAGAGAGACTGGGACTGGGTGTATATTAAGAGCAGCCTCCCTGCCCCTCTCTCTCTTCTTTCCATACTGCAATTCAACTCAGCATGCGGAAATAGCTGTGTGCAACATCATGACAGACTGGGACGAGCCTTTTACTTTAAACGGGTAAACATAGGCTGATAAAGAGGTGAAAGAGACGACGAGGAACGAGAATCCCTTCTGCTGTTGTTTTGAAATGACTAATTTTGATGTTGCATCATTCGTTTTTAATAACATGAAGCACGCAGCTGGCAGACTATTCACTGAGGAACTGACTTAGGGCTAAGAGGGAAAGTCAGAGATTACTGTGAAATTACTGGATTGTTAAATTGCTCTGGTCTGTCACTGGTTTGGCCAGACTTCCTTCCCTTCCATGACACTGCACACATGCCATTTCTTGATTTCTTTCACAACACATCATTCAGGAGGTAACTAGCTACCTTCTGAGCTCAGAGTGACATCGCAACCAGCAGGCATCCCAGAATCCTCTGTTCCTGCTGGAGGCAGGACAGTCTTGTTACATAAAAAAATACTCCAAGAAACACAACGAAACAGGCAACAGTAGTTGAGGACGCCTTACTATCACATTTTTTGAATATTTGTGATCTGAAATGTTAAACTTCATTTTAACCAATTTTGAAACGAGTCGTTGCCAAATTTACTGTAGCTGCCTAAATTATATGTAAAACAAGAAAAAGGCACAAAGTGAAGGCCTGCGCCTAAGTTGGCCCCAGGAGTAATACGAGTCATAATTAGGAAGGAAAAGGCTCAACTCAGGAGTTAAAAAAGGCCACACATAGTGCGTTGTCTCTGGTTTCTCACCTGTGCTAGCTTTGCTGTGTAGGTCGTGGGCTGGTAAGGTGGCAGTGCCGTCTGGGTAGGCTGGTTTTACAAGCAGATCTTGTCTCACTGGGCCCCTAGGCATGGTGGATGACTGGATGTATGGGCCAACTGCCGCCACACGAGATGGACCTGACTGCTGTCCGGCTTGGCCATCAGAGGGCTGCTATACAGTGAAAGGGTCGGATAGACAAAAAAGGTTGTTAGAGCATAAAAGGTCACTGAGGATAATTTACAATATCTTGTGTTGTGGTAATGATAGAAAAACCGCTGTTGAGATACACATGATTAACTTATAATGCATGCTGAAATTAGTGTTAATAATGAGGCACTAATCACACACAGTCCATAGTGGCTATGGACTTTTAGCCAGGCTGTAATGTTGATTACACAACAAAAATTGTATGATGGATGAAAAAAGATGAGACAACTCTACTATTCTTAGATTCTTGGTGGTAAAGCATAAACCTTGGTGTGAGGGTGGCACCAGAGTAAGCCATGTTGCTGCTCAAATCAAAAGGATTTATTCTGGTTGCGGTAGAAGTTTTCAAAGATTTGCAATAAAAAAAAATTTCTGACTGGGTGATGCTAACAGAATGGGCATTACACTGAGACACCCACAGTCCTTGAGGTGTACGGTCATGAAGTGAAGAGTGCAACAACTGGAGATTTAGAACTGCTGGTGGGGCTCGATGGCAGGTCAGGGGATCAAAGTAAGTAGGATTCATTTTCTGAGCACTATGATCATCTATTAATTCAACAAATTGGTCATTCGCCCTACACTAATTGGGAATTTTTACTTTGAATCAAGATGTTGCAACGGCAGACCAACATTAGCATTCTTTGAACCCTATCTAGCCCTGCGATGGATTGGCGGCCTGTCCAGGGTGTACCCCGCCTTCGCCCGATTGCCGGCCGAGATTGGCTCCAGCTGCCCCCGCGACCCCGTTCAGGGACAAAGCGGTAGAAAATGAATGAATGGACCCTATCTTTAACACTGGCATTTAGGTTTCTTTGCAGTCACTTGGTTAGATACTATTGAATAGTTAATGTCTCACGAAAACAAATGAAATGCAGTTACTGATTTAAGATGTATCATGTAAGATTTATCAAATATTCAAACTAGCGATGCACCGAAATGAAAATTCTGGGCCGAAACCGAAAATTTAGGATGCATTTGGCCGAAAACCGAAACGAAACCGAAAATGGCTTCTTTGTAACACACAAACATTTTAAATTGCTGTGCAAAACGATGCAAAAACAGCAATAGAACTTCCAAACAAACTGTAAACAACATAGCCTAGGTAGCTAGCAGTGCTACACAAATTTAATGCAACTATGCACTATGCAAAATTGGACTGCTGTTTAGTTCAACAAACGTGGCAGGTTTTTCTTTAGGAACAAAAGTTGCTCCGCTTTTTTGGCTGGAGAGACGGTTCCTCTTCTCATTAAGCACATGAGATGCTGCACTGAAGAGTCTCTCACCGCTGACATGCTTTGTCGTTCATGGGGAGACACGTCATATGACAGCTCCAGCGTGAGTGAAACCTAACCTGTGCTGCGCCAGGATATGATGGGCGGGGAGGGGCGGGGCGGGGCGGGGCATTTTCGGCGAGTTTTTTTTTTATTCCGGCCCGAAATAAAAATGGCCTTTTCGGCCGAAAATTTTCGGTGGCCGAAATTTCGGTGCACCCCTAATTCAAACTATAATTTTAATAATATGCTTAATACTACAGCAGCTAGGATCAATGTGTGCTCTCCACCAAGTGATGGCAAAACCATGCAGACAGTACAGAAATCTTTTTGTTAGACGACAGTAACATTGCCATAGATACATCATCTTACAGAAGCAAATACCTTTAAGCTTTCCAAATCCATCAAACAGACTAGTTAAGTTTAATCTAAAACTTGGGTTAAATACTTATACCATCTGGACACTTATAAACTTATCTTACAGCTGATGAGGTTATGACAAGATGCCACTTTATAAGATGGACATGGCTCAGTTTTCCCCTGAAGGGTCTGAAGTTAAATAAAGGAACTTATTGAATCTGGAGTCATACTCAAGAGGTCAGATTAGAAAGAAGAGACACACATGTGATCTGCTCTAATACTAGTTTAGTTACCTGAAGATGGGTGCCTTTTGAAGCCCTCTCTTTACCAGGATAGCCATTCTTGAGAAAACAGAAGCACAAACATGCAACAGCAGTTCAAATGACCAAATAATGCCCCCTTTCTGATCAAATAGCAGCCTTTTCCAGGTATTTCCTGAACTATGCAACTAAGATGGCGCAGGATGACTCCAGGCTGGCAGCTCTCAGACTACATACCTCTCTTCAGTCAGTATGGTTGTGTGTGTTTGTTGGGTGATGTCAACCAGGCGCTTGCTGTTTGGTTGGAGGACACAGCAGCTTGGATGGAATGTGTCTTTGTGCTAGTATGAAAAAAGCCCACTCATTATGATTCCAGGCAGAGTGTGGGTAAATCACCTACTCACTAGGGCTTATTCAGGCCTTCATCTCTAAAACGCACAGCCACTAATGTGTGTACACACATGCAAATACAAGCACACACCATTCTCTGGTCCTTGCCTACTTATTTTTAGCATATGTCAAGTGGACATCAACTGAGAAGTTGGGCTTCTTTAAAGGTGGATTAGGAAGCAAATTTCTCATTGATCTAACAGGCTTCAAGCAGAGCTTTAGAAGGATACGTTAAATCTCCGTGATCACATTTATTATGTGTCCTAAGTTACAGGCCAGATCATGTACACTACATTTGCTTATTAATCATTGCATGACACCTACTAAGCAAGCTTATTTTTGCATCTACAAAAAAAAAAAAAAAAAAAACATTTCTGAATGCAAACAGCATTGTACTTTGTATTATAATGTTATGAATAAGTATTAAATAAAGGAAAACAATCTTTACAGTTAATTGGTTGAGTGTTAATTTGGTTAAAAGAAAGAAAGTTAATGTTGACCAATGAAATACCCCAATTATACCTGAGAGGAATTCAACCTGATTAGGCAAACATAATTACAGAACTGCATAGAAGATAGAAAAATAATTTATGACATTTAAGAAGGGAAAATAAAATTATCCATCCTCTACTCAGGACAAATATGTTTTCTTTTGGTCCCCCCCCCCCAGTCAGCCTCAAGCAGTGAACATGTTAATTTTTCTTCCTCACAGTCATAGACGAGTCTGTTGAGTGTTATTTACAGTCCCATGGTAACCTTTGTTCAAAACAACTTCTAGAAAGGCCAGAAGAGCAGAAAGCCTGCAGGTGCAAGCTCAGACCCAAACACCCATTAGGGCTAATACAAAGACAGGAATATGTTAAATCCTGTCATGTATTTTATCACAGTGTGTTTGGAAAAGCCAATGTTTTTACCTTTAGTAAACAGGTTATTCAGCATTTCCTGTTTCTATCAAGACTGCAGCCAGAAAAGATAAGATCTTCCCTGACATTCCTGCCTGCCTGTGATGTCAGCCAGCACTCTTTACTCCTCACTTATCTTGAGGAGTTGTTTCTGCCAAATGGGACTGAAAACACAGCTGAGTGACGACATGGGAGAGTAAACTCGGATGCACCTCTGCGACATGATCAAAACAATGATCAATCCCCACAAGCTGTGTCAGATAGAGAGATCAAAAAAATGAAACAGGACAGAAAAGGAGTCGACTCCACCGAGTGAGGGGGTCACAGAGAATAGCAAGTCTGAAGAGCCTTACATTGGCACGGTTGAGCTCTGAATACCAGGGCGTCTGAGGCTTCCGGAGGTAAAGAGAGATACAAACAGCCTTTATCATGAGGCCACTAGGGGGAGCACTGATCACAACCAGTTTCATCACTTATTAGAATATCACTGTCCTGGCAAATTGTGAGAAAGTTGCATTAACAAAATAAATAAAATGATACTTGAGGGTATTCTGTACCAGTCTGTGTGAATGTTTTAATGATGCTGTGGTGTGATAATACTTACAGGCATGTTCTCTTTCTGCTGCAGTGCTGCCTTCTTCTTCCACAGCCGATCTCGGAGCTCAATGATCCGTTTGTCCATGGTAGCCACCTCCATGTTGCGCTTGTTCAGGTTCTCTCTCTGCTGCTGCAACTTAGAGTTTTGATCCTGATTGAGCTTGTTCCTCAGCTGACCACCAAAAAGGACAAGACAGACAGAATAGATAGTTCAATATCTCTACTCATTTAAAACAAATACTGTCTTTGAAGCTCAGTCTTGTTTTGGTGTTGAACTTTTAGTAAATTTTGCCTACCTGTAGCTCCTTGTAAAGGCGGTCTAGTTCAGCCACAGAGCTCTGGTTGTCATGGAAGCTGTCTGTTTTACCATTTTTGAGCAACTCTAGCTGTCGGCTGAGCTCCTCCACCTTTGACGCAGCCATCATTAGTTCTTTCTGCTTCTGCAGGAACAGGTTATTCATCTGCTCTATCTCCTCAACTGGAGAGAGATGAAGAGGAGTGGAAGGTGGAGAGAGGGAACAACAGGCAGAGAGGTGTGTGACAATGAAGGAACCAGGGAGGTGAGAAGTAAAGATGCAAGGAAAGAGACACAATATCATGATCACAGTCAAAGACAGTGTCTTAACTTATAAAATGAAATCTTCTATGTGTTTAGTCATACAGTACTCTAAGCACGTATTACTTCAAAAAGTAGATGGGCTCACCTAGTTTGCCATTGCTGAGGCGTTTCTGCTCCACCTGGCCCTTGAGTGCCCGGACCTTCTTGAGCCGAGCTTCCTGGTTCTCGATGTTCTCTCTGAGGCGCTGCAGCTTCTCCTGCTCAGAGGCCTGCTGCTGCTGCTGCTGCTGCTCCTGCTGCTTCAAGTAGCGTAGCCTCTGCTCCTGTAGATAAAAAGGAGAAGAAACAAAGCACAGAGATAAGAAAAAGTTTTAAGGGCTATCAGTACAAGGGCAGTTGGCTGTGTTAAGAATTCTTCCTGCTCCTATTTCTATGAGCAACAATGCATTCTATCTCGACGCGCCTGGTTTAATAAGGGTTAAAAAAACACAGTGTGGCCCTAAAAAGTGTTAAATATTCAAAGTCAATCATCAGTCTTGAACTATGGCACAGTGTGCTGCAAACCTGACAAAACTCTCCCAAACAGGTTTAAAGATAAGCACTCTGTTCAGGTATGTGTGCTGATGGTATTGCCAGTTTTTTTACTTGATTGCTGTGCAAGTGTACATGACTCCTTGAATTCCTTAGCTTATTATACTATCTGCAGGCAGACAGTGCTTGAATCTGAATGCTAATGTGGCTCAAGAACACAAACTGCAGATCGCATGGCATATTTAAGGAGGGAAGTACATTTCTGAAGTTATCTAAATACAGTACATATTTAGTATTTAATTATATTAGGCCTATTTTCTGTCTAATGTCTCACCATCACAAGACAAAAGACATCTTCAAATACCAGAGGAGTCCTGTTTGGTGAGAATTCAAGGCAGGAAGCTGTCTCAGGCTTCTCAAATTATAAACACTACACCTGCAGGTATCCACAATTAATCTCACTGTCTATCACAACCTTCAAATGTATTATATTTAAGTATCTTCATTTCCATAAGTGGGCTAGACTTGTTTTAGTGTACTATCTCCCAGTAACCTGCTCTCTAATTTTGCTCCTTTATGTCGTCTTTCCTCCTATTGCTTTTACTTCCACTTCCACCAATTAACTCCTTCACACCCTGTATCCACCCCTCGCTCTCTTTTTTTTTATCATGATCATCTTCTTATGCACCTTGGAAGCAAGGAGCTGCTGCTGAGCCTCTATCTGCTGCTGCTGTCTCGCTGCCATCTCTTGTAGCTCGGCCAGTGTCATGTCCATCCGGGGTGCTGCCACCTGGACAGGGGTAAACACGGGGACAACAGGAGTCAGTATGTGAAACAAATAAAAGAAAGTGCATTCCTGTGCACATGTACTGAGGGATATTTAGTGACATTCACTCAAGTTGAACACAAGACAAACAGTGTAGCCATGAAATCAGAAAAGCAAAAGCAACAGACACATTATTTTTAAAAGTCAAACAAACAAATGGGGAGATTACCTTTATCTCCCTATCCAAAAGAAGCCCAGTGACTCCCTCTGTGATTTCAGGACTTGTAATTCAACAGAAGTTTTTTTTTTTGGGGGGGGGGAGGTTATTTCAGGATGCGTCATTCACAGCTTTATAATTATCTTAACAGTGATTTCCATGTTATGATGCACTGTGCACTTTATATTGTATACACTGTAAGGTGTATTACTTAGTACTCCACAGTAATTAATCAAGTCAGCTTGTTAAGTACAGAGAAACAAAGTAATAGTTCACAGAATTTATGCTGATACCAAAATTCAGGACCCAAGGGGAAGCAATCGAGCATAGAAGCTATAACTGTACTTCAAATGTTACTCCACTGAGAGGCTCTCTTAGTCTCTTTTAATGAGAACACATTTCAGGTATCTGCTATTCAATTTTTAAAAAATTAAAAAATGGAGCTTCTGTCGCCAATGTTACACTGTGTCCCAGAAATGTCCTCTTTTCAGTGACCAATAAAAAATTATTTCTTAATAATTAAGCATCCTGTTGGACAAAGTGTCTTAAAAACAAAACAAAAAAACCTTACCCCATTCTCCATCCTTCTGTCTGGAGGACCCTTCACTCCATTTCTCTTTGGTTCTGAGCCTCTTGACCCTCCTGAGTAAACAAACAAGACAGAAGACTGCATCAGACAGCACAGTCTCCTGCACAGTTTCATCAAAGGCTGCTGCCTCAGTTTAGTCCCAGAGGAAAGTGAACTGGGCAAACTACTGGCCTTTACAGTCACTTGTGAAAAATGACTGGAACTTTCTTTTGCCTCTCATTGTCTCTGACAAACAAGCTCAATGATCTGTGCTCCTCTTGAAAACAACTGGGATCAGTGCTCTACAATAACAGACATACATACATATTACATGTATATACACACACAAAGTTATGTACACCACCTGCGGGTGGGTCTCACAACTGTGTGCATGTGCGTGTCTGTGTACATTAATGCACTTTGATCCAACCATGCTAGTGGTATTTGACAGCTTTGGCTCTGGCAATCAAGACCTCACTGTTAAAACCTTAGCCTATGATCGATCAAAGCCCATTTATCCTACATAATGGCTTTTGCTGACCTGTGACATATTGTATACATGTTAAATACACACACTGATTAAGTGCTGATGGGAAGAGTAAGTGACATTAAGTGTGAGACTACATAGCTATCTTAATTTAGCAGAGAATGAATTTTGCCATCTGACCTGGTAAGAAAGAACATACCTGCAACTAGGGCTGAGTACAACAAGATTTCCACAACTACATAAACCCCACAAAAAGAAGAGACTAAATGTACCCGTCTTTAATCAAAATATGGTAACAGAAAAAGGTACAGAACTGTGCTGCAAACGCTGAGTAGAGCTGAGCTAACAGTGTGGGAAAACACGTGCGGGTTAAGATAACAGGAGAAGAAAACAGCCATCTAATCCCTGAGCCAGACTCAAGCTGTGAGGAGTGAAAGGGCTTAGTTACACAACTGGGACTGAAAGGATAGCACACAACCTTTATACTAAAGTTTTCTGTGTTCCTAAGAAAACTGGAAAGTAACAGGCTTATGACAATGTGAGGGGGACAACTTGCAATCAGCCCGGCCTCCGACAGTACAGCTAAATAAAGCTTGCTCGAGGATTTGACAACCCTTTCCTGGATAAAAGCAGCCTTAAGAGTACCATTTTCAAACCTCTAGAGAAGGGAGGCCATCTGGTTCCTTCTTAGCATCAAAGAGGTTTTTAATGCTAATTTCCTTTCATGAAGGGAATGGATGTCAGTATGTGTAGAGGCTGTAGGCATCTATGTAGTTTCCTATGTTGGTGTCAGATGTCTTTTCTCTGAGGACAGCCTTCACCAAACCATGACTCTAATAAGTGAGGTGACCATAGAAACCCTTGCTTTTGTATCATTGTCTGTTGTATGTGTGGCTGTGATTGTCTGTGTTGGAATAGGACACTTACCTGATTCCCTGCTAGGGGCTCGGTTGTGACGTAGAAAGAAGCGCACCTCTGCCCTGTGTTGTCCCCATCGCTGGAGCACATCCAGCATCCTCTCCCCTTCCCCTACAGCTCGCTCTGCAGATGGATTACACAATAATGCGTCAGTGCTCAGGTGTGATGTAAAACACACCCTTAATGTCAATATTGACAAAAATCTAATTATATTTATCTTGGCAAGAAAAAAGTGATAATATCAATGCAGTGTGCATGTGTGATGCTTTGTGAATTCTGTCCAGGCTAGCAGTGTGGACTACCCTAACAGAGCTGGCCTACACTGAAAGGACATTCATTTTATCAGTGCTATGCCATCTGTATCTTTTTTTTTATTTTTTTTTTAGCAATAACCTCAGGGAAAACAATGATGATGTGTTGTCAATTACTCTGGCTGGTACTGAGCCAAAGAGCTCATCATCCAGTCCTCGAACATTTTCTTCAACTTGCTTAAGACCATTTTATCATACAAATGGACAGAGACATTACTGTCGGGGGGGGGGGGGAACGAAGCTGATCTACTATAATGACATGCCTGCAAAATCAGTAAGAGCTGTAACATTCGGTCTATCAACAGCTTTGCATTTAAATTTGATGCAAAATGTCACTGCTGGCTGTTTTCAAGGAGAGTCAGCAGTGCCTGTAGTGAAAAATGAGGATCTTTTCAGACTACTTGTGGAAGTACTTAAACACAATAATTGGCACTTTCTCCATACTTATGGCAGCATCACCATGGAAACAGCTACAAAACCTAGCTTCTTGAGTTCTGATTGTGAATACTTCCCGACTTTTAGAAATGGGGAAAATGGGGCAGGCATGAAGTCTCAGCTGCCCCTCCCACCTGAGAGATGTGGGAGATGTTTGGCTGCTTGAGTTTGTTACAGGAATTAATGAGCCTTGCTTCATTTGCATTGCAGAGCCAAAAAAAAAGAAAAGCTCTTCAAAAAGAAATCACAGAGCAGTTGACCACACAGTTCATTTCCATATATGGTCTACTTCAGAAAAGCTATTTGTGTCTAATTAAAGGAAGATGACAAACAAGTATCTGTGCACTGACTCCAGTCCCTTGGGATGCCAGTCATATTCCACGAACAAAACAGTGTGCCTGAAAATCTCATGTTCTGTGTGATGTGTAGATAGATAACAATAATGCCTGGTAAACTGGCACTGTCACTCACCAGATCCACGCCACATCTCAGACAGATGGCAGTCTGTCTCCCCGGGCTCCTTGCACAACTCCACGACATCCCGGCACAGCGTCTCCGGGGTAACGGGAACCTCAGTAAAATGCTGGTCATTATTACTGAGGTATACTGTCAGGAACATCTGGGGACAGTGGCAGGGGCAGAGAGAGGCACAGAGCCAGACAGATTAGATAAAGAAGTCAAACAACAAGATAAAGAATGTTGGTGGCCTCAGTGGAAGCAGAGAGAGCACCATAACTATGTGTAACTCGTGTCCTATTTCCCTGTAGTTCAGTTTAAGTGTGTGTGTGTGGGTTCGTGTTAGTGATGTGTGTGTTTCACTAATAACAGTATCTGTTTCCCAGCCTTCATGCCTGTGTGTCAACAGAGAAATCAGAGGCCAGCTCCCAGAATGCCATTTCACCACACATCATTCGACTGCTAACTAGCGGTGTCACCACTATGAGAGATCTTTCTGTCTTAACACACACATTTAAAATCCCTGCCAAGCACTCTGAAGGAGCAGACTGCTGAGGAGTCTGGAGAAGCTGGACTGTCACTGTGTAGCTGCATGTCACTGAGTGACTGACAGATGGCACAGGCTGTTTTAGGCCCATCTAAGACAACATGGACTATCTCAATGAGGCTGTCACTGACAGAAGTAGAGTGAGAAAGCCTTCAGCAGAAAAAGAATCTGACAACTACTGTATTGCTTACAAACATTTTAAAGCAATTCTCAAATCAATACTTATACACAATATGAATCTTTATGGCTGAAATGGGCATTGGGTGTGTAATTTAAAATGAAGTAGGCCTATGAAAGTCTATTTAAGAGTACACATCCTGGAGTGAAATGTCAAATTCTGTTTCCATGTTGCTCTAAACGCAATACAAACTTGACAGTAAACATGGAAGTAGAAAACAGTTTTGCTGTTGAGACATAAACCGATGTATGCTTAAGAGGCTTTTAGGGCTGTGGTGGAAATTGCTCCCATTAATCTGATCACACATTTGAAGTGACAACTTTGATAAGGCCATAATAAAACCAATATTAAAAACACACGTGCCTTAGTTCCTGGCATGACGAACGTACTGGACTGTTTCAGCACACTGTAACATCTTCACTGTGACTTCAATAGAGTAAAAATAATTAATGCAACACCCCCAGACCTGGAAAGTGTATAACTGTTAGCCTAGCATTGCTGTTTGTGGCTATAAGGTTATTCTATTCCCTGCATGCTGCCGTGACAGGGAACATGAGGTCAGCAGAGCCACACCATAAACTGTATGTGAAAAGTCAATGGGTCACACACAAAGGGCCTGGTGGGAGAGTATACTGGGCAGCTGCAGCCAGGGTGCAGAAACAAAAGTGTTTGGTTGCTTTTGAATGGTGGGGTGCATTAAGCAAAAGTAGAGCCTAAGATGTCTCTTTATCATTCTTTTCTTCTTCAATTGAGGCATACTGAGCGAGGGGGCAGGTGACACGTTTTTTTCTGAAATCTCCTTAGCAACATACACCACCAGAGAAGGTTTGTTTTTTTGTTTAGTGATGAGAAGGATGGACGCACGGGGTAGTGGTCTGACTCAGAGGATGTGATTCAACTACTTTGTTCCATAGGGATGGCTAAATAAGGGGGTTAAATAAAAGTGTCCATCAGTAGAGAGAATCAGCAGTGACTCATCCTTGTCAGTAATCTACACTACAGAGAGCTGTAAAAAGACATAGTCCGTGTTCCTCACTGGTCGTAGAACACCTAACAGCTCTGAGAGGATCACCCCAGAAAACAAAGCTATAACCAAGTCTTCTCTTTCCTTTCTGCTAGTCAGAACAGTTTTACTGCTGAGAACTAAAGTGGAACCAGTTAACCTAGTAATTAACACTATTAGAGCTACCTCCTTGAAAAACTACTTGAGTGTTCATTAAATATTCACAGATACAACAGCCAGTAAAATTAAATAGTGCAATAAGAATCTGATAGGCCTATTTCAAAACAAACCACAGCACTACAGTTAGCCAGAAAGTATCACCTTTGACAGCCTTACACAGCCAGGGAGCTGAGCAGTACCAGTTTGGATATTGGTATTGACATTTGAAAAATGTCCTACACTTTCCTTCGGTCTGTCAGAGGAGAGGAGAAAAGCAGCTGCTGAAGTGCACTTCCTCCCTACCCAAGAAAGGCTAAAGAGATCGCCCTGGGGAAGGACAAGGAGAGATGTGGTGCCTCTGCTGCAGCAGCTCACTATGACAGTGCTATATTTCCAAATCCAACACCTAAGTTAAAGCAGTCTCCCAAGGTTTTGGGCTGGCCTGACAGCTCAGAGCAGCAAACAGATAATTATAGCCAGTGTCTGCACTGTAGATATTTTCAAAGAGTAAGACTAGGTCACTGGTATTATCTCAGGGATTAAGCTAATCTGCTATATAAAAATATAGCCTTTCCACAGACTACTAGCTCAGTATTACAATAATAAGCTTAAATTCAGTAGCCTGCAGCTAGGCCGCAGGCACCACACCTTAAGATGGGAAATATCCTTCTGGGTATCCAAGGTCCAACAGTATATTCATTTTCATGGGCAGATTTTACTGTTCAGCACCTGGTTTAAGGTGTTGAAGTCATAAAACGAGGTGCTGCAGTGCCTTGGATAGAACCAAAACCTACACAGTCTTACATACGTGCTTATAGGACACTTTGTTCTAGGGACAATAACACAGATAGGTGTGTGTGTCTCAGAGATGAAAAGCTGTAACATCAAACTCACAGACAAAAGACACTGTAATAAGAACATCTGAGAGGAGGAGAGTGGCTGCAGCTGGCAGTATTTACTTGGCCGGCCCTGTTGAAAACAAATGCGAGGTTGTGAAAGAGAGACCGGAAAAAACAAAGATATACTGTAACTGTTGTTCTGGGTTACTGCATGGAAACAGGTTCTTTGTCAGTCCTGAAGCTGCAGTGCCTGTAGGGATGTGCAGTGAAATACTGAAGATATCAGCTATAAAGCCTACAGACCATAAAATGCTGATCTGGCCCTTTACAGTGCAATTTGGATCCTTTCTCCTATTAAAGCCAGAGGGGCCCTGATGTAGATGCCATTGATCGACAGGCTCAGGGGAAACGGCATTTTCAATCTCTGCAGTCGTTTAGACAGAGGACTCTGAAATGACTTGAATTTAAAGATCAACACTGTACTTGTAGCCAATTACAGGAAACAATGCCATGCTGGTGTGTGTGTGTGTGGGACACTCCCACAGATTGTTCAGATAACATTCACATTCACTGCAGCAGTAAAATGGTGTACAGAAATGAAGTAGGCAGCTCTCGTCTTGGTGGAAATGTTTCGGGACTGGTTGAAGCAAAGTTAAAACAAGTTAGAGGAATGGTCCTTTAATGAAGTTACAGGCAGTCTTAATAGAATATCAGCCCATGTGTCCCACCTTGAAAAGCCACTCTCACCTTGGGAAGGTCAATTCTGATGAATTAGTCTCAAGCCCACCGTCAAAATGCAATTGGTCACATATTGAGTTAATAGTGATTAAAGCTGACTACCACTGCAGTTTCCCATTTCCACAAATAGACACATCACAAGGAATTGTACTGCAATAAAATGACTCTGCAGTGTTAGGATAAGTGGCAAATGAAAGCTGGTCTTGTCACAGAGAGGTCACATCAATACAACTAAAAACAACAGCAACACTGAAGATGTGTATGAAACACACACACACACACAATTTGAGATCAAATCAAATCAAATCAAATTTTATTTGTATAGCGCCAAATCACAACAAAAGTCATCTCAGGACACTTTACAAAGTAAGGTCTAGACCTTACTGTTATCAATATTATTACATAGGGAAAACCCAACAAATCCCCCTTGAGCAAGCACTTGGCGACAGTGGGGAGG